GGACTTTTGGGAAGCATTGCTGTTACTGCTGCCTATCAACAGGAGAGGAAAATGTCAAAGCTTTCTAAAATTGATCAAAATCTTTTTAAAATTATCAAACCTTTCAATTTCCTTGAGATCTGGACTTTGATGGCAATTACCACCATCCTCCGTTTCTAGGAGAATTCAGCACCCATGCCCCATTAAACTCCGTTAAAAGGGATAATTAGCTGGAGACTGACAGTAATTTAGCCAGTTCATTTATCAGAAGGGATAAAGTCAACCTGAAACACGTTAATGTGAGGGTCTTAAAACTGGTATTATGCTGTGCTGTTGTGCAACAAACGTATTGCTAGCGGAAGGGCCGCAGACCATGGTGTTAATCGGGATTGCTGGGGTGTAAATAATGTTTTGCTTCATAAAGTCTGGCTAGGGTGAACAAATTATTTAGTTCTCATACTACAGCTGAATTAAGAGCTCAGATGTATAAAAGTGTGTAAAAGGGTGTATCTAAGAATCGATAGGGGATCACCGAAGCATTTAATCACTGTTTTACTAATCTCCCTGCGCTATCTGAACTCAAACTGACTCCTCACACTAAAATCAATGGTGCTAATATACTCATTAACGACAGTTCTTTCGGAGGAATGAAACCATCAGAGTTTGAAAAACTAACTGGGGGCAGAGGAGCTGAAAGCTGTGAACAGTGCATGGGCTTGTGCTCCAAGGCTTCCTGGGGGAGCAAGAAACTCTCTAAAAATTCCCTTACAGGAATTTCCACTGCAATCTTCTACCAAGGGCAAGCAGCTGTGACTACAAGTATAACAGCACATACCTGAGAGGGGACATCTGATGCAGGGACTGATCTAGGACCCATGGATCTACAGCCACAGCTCCTCTCCAGGGTGAGGCTCGAGAGCTGGCTTCACCAGCTGCCCACACCAGAGACTTCTGCACATGCAAAGTGTCTTTGTTTCCCAATTCTGGTTCTGCTACCTCACATCACTCTGTATCTCACGTTTCCCATCGGTTCATGGGCTATGCAAGACCTTTTGGGGCAGCTGTTGCCTTTGCATCCCACACTGGCTCTTATTTATACTCTTCACCAGCAGCTGAAGAGTTTGCCGCATCCTCCTGCCAGGCTTCCCTGCACGACTATCTCAGCTCTGACCTGCACATCTGACACTCCTGTCCCGAGACTCATTTCTCCTCAGTCTGTCAGTTCAGCTGTGATAGCTTCTGCTTGGCATCTACAGGCTCCAGACAGTCTCTCCCCAAAGGATTTTCTGAAAGACATTGAATTTCTGACCAGGGTTTCATCAGGCTGCCTGGAAAAGGATGTTGCCCAAAACTATTCAAAGACAGCATTTTCTTATTTTTTATGCAAGTATTGAACAAATATCAGAATGCAAAATTGCCCCTGAGATTGGAAAATGGAATTAAATCTTCCAACAAACATGAGAAAATAGATACCAACGTCTCTATTAGCAACAAAATGTTTCATGCTTAGAAACTGGTAATCTAACACCCCCTCCAGGGAATTCAGAATGGTGAGAAAAAATGGTCTAAGACAGCATTAGAAAGAGAGAGAGAGATACATACGTTCAAGTGAGACACAAACTGGATGTGGGGTGGGCAGGAGAGCGTCCTTGTGTCGGTCCCACCTCGGTGCGTTCACAAGCAGTTCAGGAGGTCATTAGTGGAAAGCAACGGCCCAGATCCTCTGCCGTTCCCAGCCGTGCTGAGCCCAGCATAATCAGGCACAGGAGGTCTACCCCACGCAGGGTGCATCCTCCAAGCCACTGGTGTGGCCACTAAGCTGTATCGACCCCTGCAAGCAGCGAGAAGGGCAGAGCCAGGACGCATGGTGTGGCTGAGCTGCTTCTGCAAGCACCAAGCTCCAGCCTGTCTTGGAGGGCTCATGGACGGCACAGTTCAGACCAGCTTTGATGGCACTGGTTTACACTAGCTGGGCAAACTGGTGGTCCAGCACCACATACAACATAGTGACGAAACAACCCTATTTCACCCGAGCGATACAAGAACCGTCCCAATGCACACGGGAACATCTCTGTTAGGGACGTGGTTTAGTGGTGGACTTGGTAATGTTAGGTTAATGGTTGGACTCGATGACGTTAAGAGTCTTTTCCAACCTAAATGATTCTATGATCTGCAGCATGTTGCTTTCCTACAGAACACAGGATTTCCCCTGGGCTCCCTTCTCAAGCCACAACCCTGGGAAACAACCAACTCCCGGCATAACAGCCCAAGAGCTGAAAACAGTATCATCAACCGAGTTAACATCATGCAGTCCTGAAGAAGGAGCACCATTTGGTACAGGGTGAAGTACAGGCATGCAACCACACCTGGGGGCTGTTACGGGTCAGCAGAAGGGAAAAGTTGGCACTGCAAGTTCAGTGTGTCCTCCTTGCTTTGTTTTGTTGTAACACCAACCTGGTCATCCTAAGGAGGAACCACCTGGCCAAAGCTCCCTTTTGAATTTACTGTCCAGAAGAATCAACAAATGACATCCCGGTTGCACATGTCATTTGCACAGCTCCTATGCTTGATTTTAACGATGGTACAATTCTCAAAGACAATATACAACCTAAAAGCACTCATACACAACCTACAAGATGCCCACCAGCCTGCCTTCCCTTTCCCTCCTCCTCCCAAGAGCACAGTTCATTTAAAATGGCTTACCCCATTCTCTTCTATTCTGCATTTCATGGCTTTTGAACTTCAAAGAGAGGGGTGAAAACCCTATCGCTTCACCATGCATTTAAATATTATGCAGCCACATTACTGAAGAACACCTACAAAATACACTGCTAAAATAAACTCCCGTTTGAACTCTTCCTATAATATTTTTCAGAGAGCTCAGAACATGCTGCCCTTCTTCCCACACAGCACTGAAGCACCTACTTCAGTTTAACCAGGTACACACTCTTCTTGGAGTCGAAAGGACTAATCAATGTGCTTAAAATTATGCATTTGCCTGAAGTACCTAGTTGAACCCAAGCTTTTATATCTAGAAGTTGCATGGTATAAATTGGAAACATTATTCCTGGGTGAATGTTATACGCACGTTGGCAGATATATTCCAAAACTAACTATGAAATCAAACTATTTATTGTTAATAGGACATGTCCAATTCCAGCAGACTGCTTTGAAAATCTAAAATAAAAATGTGCACAATGTACTACGTATGAATATGGATACCCACCACACACTATGTGCATGCCTCATGTATAGAAAAATAGCAGAGCAGAAATGCTCTAAGCATAAATTGAGAATATATGAGATAAGATTTTAATTGTGGTTTTAATAACAGCAAACTGCTGGAGCTACCTGCTTATTATCAGTCTTGAAAAGCAGCATGAAAATAATATTTTAACCTTTCATCTGTAACATGGTCTTTGCTAATAAAATTATCCCAGAGTCATCCAAGCACATAGCTGGTGTCACCTACTTAATATGCAGAATAAATTAAATGCCACTTACATATAGCAAAGAAATACCCAGCTAATTTCATGCACTTTCATGCCAGTCCTTACACTGGCGCAGCCACACAACGAACACAGTCGAGCCCTGCATCTTCTCTTCAAATCCTGCCCTTCTGCAAGAAAATCATCCGATCCACTGCTCTACTAAACCACCCCTTTGCAAGGCCACCGTCACTCTGCCCATCATGCTGGGAATGCTGAAACGAGCTCTGTCACATAAGCTGGGTCGTTGCAATTGCAAAACACTCTGCATTTATTATACTACAAGGAGACCAGGTCCCACTCACGACACTTGAAGTATTGTGGAAAGACAGTAACAGAGATTTGGGAAGAGTGAGAGACCTGGCACGCTTCCCTACCATTAACAAAACCATGTTAATAATCCTACTTCATTTTTCCAAAACAAAAGTCACCTGGATGAAACACACACCCTTATCTCCATTTCAATCCAGCTTCATGCTTCCCACTACCAGAAACCAACTCAGTGGTACTTTATGTGACTTGCTGTTGGTGAACAGCCCATGGAAGTCAACAGAAAGACTCTTCATAACCGATTCATTTCCATGAGGTATTAAAATTCCCAATATTACCAATCAAATACAGGGAATGCCAGGAGGGATCTTTCCCAAAAGACCACACTTTCTCCTCTATTTAGTGACATACGAGCAATAATCAATGTAGAGAACACATAAACAGAGACGAAAAAATGGAAGGTGCTGGACATCAAAAAACTTATCTGCCAAAAGTGTCTTTCGCTACCTGCAGAATAAGGCTCCTGCTTCTCGCTGTGAATGAACTCTTTTCGTTCGTATTTGGCTCTGATCCACTGTTCACGCAGCAGTCTGGAAAAAAAAAATACAGAGAAAAGGAAACATGGTCCAAGAAACACTAAGGAAGAATCCAGAATCATTAATTCTTCAATCAAAATACAAGCGTGATTTCAAAGTCTTCCAAAAATTGCATTGTACAGTCTGGAGTCAAGGGTTTCTTCTGTTTACTGTTGGACAACAATAAATCGTTTCCTTGCACATCTAATTTTATTGAAAACTTTCTTAATAAAATTTACAGATTTAGCAGAATAGCCCATTCCCACCCACCCAATCAGCCTCTGTACAAAATACCCTCAGTATACGAATGATTTTAAACCTAATTTCGTCAGACTACATTCTTCAGTAAATGGGATCAGTAAATGAAAAAAATCAACAAACTGCATACAAAAGAAGAATCTTTGCCCTGAAGCTATCAATATGGAAGCAGAAATTGGGTATGCCTTGTGCGATGCATGTACACGATGGCCTTTCGGCAGTCAGAGCTGCAGAGATATTGTCTCCTTGTCACGTGTGGACAGCTATTCAAAAAAATTGTGATGTGTCAGGTTAAAATTATACTTGTAATGACGAGGGGAAGCCCAGCCTAAGGATGGGTGACACTTGTGACTCAGTGAACACGGAGCTTGCTGTAGGGTGTCACGCACCTCGCAAACTAGGAACAACAGGAATTCAAATGAGAGGTGACCTCTTCAAAATGAAAGGGACACAGGACAGCCATATCCCAGGCCCTAGCCAACCTCTTGGAAGGAACTGGGGTGTGAAACGTGAAAAAGCCTCAAAAAGACCAGGAGAACATGGGTGGGTAAGGATGCGAGGGCTGAGCCCTGTGGAACACAGGACTCAAACACTGGAGGGTGGTGAGAACCCGCCTGGCAGAGCTCTTCCAAATCATAGCCTGTACTGCGAAGTCTAAGAAAGAAATCCACAATGCATGGCAGGAAACGTGCCTGTTACAAAGTGCTTTACTCTTCATGTTGAATATTATACCAATGATTTATACACCAAGACCTTAACTTCCAAACAGGAAAAAATACCCCAAAGATTATAAATACTTTTTTGCTATTTTATTTTAGCATGAGTGCTGGAACTAATGAAGTAGTTTAGATCTAGAATATGCTAGGAATTCCTTCAAACCATTTTTAACTGCACTTAGTTCTTAATTGCCCTAGAACCTTAAATAGCCCAAGCAGGCAGAAATCACATGCAGAAATAAAGGCATGTGTCAACCCAGCCTCACAGCAGACATTTCGAAGTGGCCTACACTGATGACAGTAAAAGATTCCCCAGCATTGGAAGTGCTCTGTAAAACCCATCACACTTCAACACATCAACTTCTCCTCCAATGAAAACTATTGATACGCTTAATTACCTTTTCTTTTTTGCAGACTATGCAAATTTAATACTATCTTTTCAGCAGGCACATTCCAGAAATGCTCAAAGAAGATGGGCGTACTAACATTGCTTATGAAAATTCATCTGCAGGTACAGCAAACACATTCATCAAATCTGCAAGACACTATTCAATGAGAACTGTGGCTGTAATGGTTTTCCTGGTAGTAAAGAAGGAAATAATTACATAGATTTTGTCCCACCCATTGTTTCATCTCCGTGGTTGGGGTACGAGCCTTCTCCCACAAGGCTCAGGGAGTACCATAGCTTCCCTGCACCCAAAACTCAACTGTGAGCTTCTGCTGTAACAGAAATAATGCACCAACTCTGCCTTTCCCCCTTCTGTTCCTGTTTTCATGACTGATTTTTAGTTGTTACACACACATCTGCAAGTTTGACTGTGAACTCTGAGGATGAACACCCATCTCCCTTCTGCTGTCACCCTGTGCTACACTCTGGTTTGGGTACAACCCATCTTCAGTTCATCTCAGGAGGTTCAGATGCGTTTTGTAGAAGCGTGCAAGGGGCCTCTTCTGGGTTGAGCAGGATGCTCTTTCTGGATCTGATAGCCACAACATGGTAGCCTGCAAACGCAGAATACTGATGACCCAAAAGGTAGCACTTAATTGCCTGTTTCTATACTTCTGCCGCTCATCAACAAAGCTACCAGAATTTAATCATAAAATCAACACAAGTACTTAAATTTGTTACCCTTCTTGCAATTTTTCCAGCCCGGCTGCTGCAGACAGCTTGTTATCACCGTAGCCAAACTTGGACCTTTTCAACAAGACGATTAGGGATTTAACTAGAAGGAAGCAAATTCACGCCACCCTCGGCTCCAGCTGAGTTCAGTGGA